AGATCCACCCACTGGCAACATGATAATCGTTGAGTGTTTCTGCCCCTACATCAACAGGGACCTGCAGAAGTAGACACAATGGCAGCTGCTCAGCAGGGATCCATTTCACAGGTGGGGGCCCCAGGCTCACAGAAGCTAAACGACTTGCTCCCACAGCCGAGAAGTGGCAGCGTGGGGACTGGATTCAGACTATGGGGCGCTGTGTGTGAGGTGCACATGCAGCAAGGTCCTCACCTTTCTAAGGTTCTCCCTACAGGTTTCCCTTCCTTCCCCTTCTGACCTCCTAACACCCATGATCTGAACCTCCCCAAGGAGTTCCCCTGATCCCGTATTCACCCCGTGAGTGCTTACAAGATACCCAGGAAAGCGTGAACCCCAGGCCTTGGGTCTTGGGCAGCTGGGCCCTCTCTGAGTCCCACCCAGGTAGCCAGGGAGGGAGGACATGCCCATCTCCCAGGGCAGGGGAGGGGCTTAAATGAGATCTCCTCACCCATCATGCTCTTAGCATACTGCCTGGTACACAGCAATCACTCAGGTAGGGATACCTTCGAACGCTGGCATCACACTTGTCTGTCCTCATCATCTGCCTGCAGAATCCATTAGGAGGCGCACCAGCCCTCCCTCTACCCGCCACCCCCAACCTCTAATGCCCAGCCTGGGGCCCCAGATCACTGCAGGAATTGAGTGGGCACCGAACCACCCTCTGTCCCCAGCAGAGACCCCGACTAGAGAAGGGCTGTGCCCTGGTCCCCCATCCCCAAGGAGGAGACGAGCGTCCCGACAATTCCCGGCCCACAGCCTTGCAGCTCTAATCAAGGAGCAAACACAACGAGGGGCTCTCTAAACACTTAGAAAACGTGGGAACCCTGTGCCCCACGTGGCACCGTGGGGATTTATAAAGAACAAATCATGCCTGACAAACTTGATAGCTTTTTTGATAGAATTACAAGACTGGTAGATGAAGGAAATGCAGGCAGGGTAATATATCTTGATTTTTAGCAAAGCATTTGATACAGCGCCTCGAGTAATCTTACAAAATTAATTCAAACAGACTTGGCCCTAAGCACTTGCCATGTGGTCAAAGCAGGAGGGGCAAGTCCCAAAGGTCCCAGGTGGAGGAGGAGGGTGAAGCCCAGGGTGAAGGGGCTGAGGGACAGAGTCTGGGAGTGGGGGCAGGGCTGCCAAGACCCAGCGCTGGGTCAGATCTTATCTAACATCTTCATTAATGATCCTGAGAGAGGGAGTAAACAGTCCGTTAATGAAATTTGCAGAGGATATTAAATTGGAAGGTGTTGTGAACACCAATGAGGACAGCAAAACGGTCCAGAGAGACCCGGAGAGAAGAACCTTGGCAGGAAACGGAGAGCGTGGGGTGGGGGGTGCTGGCCAGCATTTGGGGCTACCTGGAGAGCCAGGGAGGAGGAAAGCGCATCCCAGGGTTTGCCTGGAGCTGGGAGCGGCCACAGCTAGCTTGGGTTCTGGCCAAAGAGGCAACCCCGGGAATCTCAGTTTTCCTATCTGTAAAACAGAAGGGCTGGCAGGAAGAATGGCTTGCAGCTCTAAGAGCTGGCAGGGGTGGGAGCCCGGAGCTGAAGCCCACCTTATGGGTGGGAGAGGAGAGGAACATGACACAAAGAGGAGGGCTTGTCCGCAGGCCACGGAGGGCCATGAGGGAGCCTCTCGCGGAGCCATCACTAGCACCAAATGCCCCCGAGCCACTGCCTGGAGGCAGGTGCCTGTAGGGGTGAGCTGCAGTGGGCGGGCCCCTCTCCCAGCCGCTGGCTGGCGGGACAGGCTGGGGCCCTGAGCCTGTCTAGACCTGTAGGGTAGGCTAGGAACTCTTAAGTGACAGAGGTTTAACGCAGACAGGGTAGAGTGAGGTGTGGGGGCGGGGGTGGGGGGAGGTCAGGATCTGTTGTCTTTCTGGAGAGTTCCTGATCCCTCTTGGGCAGATCATCAAGAAGGAGATGCCTCTCCAGCCAGGTGAAGCAGCCTCTCCCGGATCAAGGAGAGTTGCCCCAGGCCTGTCTCTCTGACCTCAGAGCAGGGACCTCTCCTGTCCCTCTCCCTCTCACCCAATACCAAGCAGGCTAAGGCAGAAAGCTGTCCGTTCATCTGGACTTGGATTTGTTCCCACAAGGCTCCTTGACTGGTGGGGTCTCAACAGGAGCCAGGGCTCCCTAGCATGGTGCCAGGCCCCCCGCAACCTAACTAAATGCTCCGTGGGAGGGAGAAATGGATGGCTGGTTCCCAGCTGAGGGTGGACCGGGACGCTGTGGACAAACACAGCTCTGCCAAAGCAGGAGGCCAGCCCTGCCAGATGTCAAGGCCACGTATCAGGACACAGAGGATGGATCCGGGTGAATATACTCTGGGGAGGGGGAGGGTATCTTCCAACCCTGTGGATTAGTGATAATGACACTTAACTGAACACTTACTATGGCTTCATTCAGAGCGTGTTCCTCACATTAACGCATTTGACCTTCACAACAGCCCTAGGAGGTAGGTGCTCTTATTTTCCCCATTTCACAGAGGGGGAAACTGAGGCATAGAGTAGTAGCCAGGAGCCCTTGACACCTAGCCAGAAGGCCCATGGGAGAAGCAGCAGCCTGCCAAGAGCCAGAGGAGGAGATGGGCAGCTCCTGATGGGTGACCCCGGTGGGTGGGAAGAGGCAGCCCCTCCTATGGGGCCCCCAGAGCCTTGCCCAGCGCCTTCCTGTCCCCCTTGACAGGAGTTGGTCCAACTCCTGCCACACTTGTGGAGCCTGATTTTACTATGTTTCCCTCTCCCGTACCACTGCCGAGCTACACCAAGTCCTCTGAACAAGTCTGTTTCCATGGAAACCATACAGTGACTCAGGGCTTCGGGACCTTCTCTGAACCAGATTATGAATATCAAATGCTCCCTCCCCACACCAGTGCAGGATGAGTTGGAAAAGTAGAGAGAGACACAGTGGGCAACGGAGGAAGACGGGGAAGTGAGCAAGGAGAAGGCGGGGATAGAGGCAGGGCACCAGCCTCCCCCCTCCCCCGGCCCAGTGACAGCCTGACATCTGGGGTCCCCTGCAGACTCAGTGGAGCACAGAGGTACACCTCCGGATGTGCAGAGCCAGCCCACACATGCCCCAACATCAGTTCCAGCCTTCCCATGGAGCTGGGCCCTGCGGGGGGAGGGGGCAGGGAGGTAAGCTGCTCCTTGTTTCTCCTAATGGGGACCTCGCATGGCAGAGGCAGCCCAAGGGCCAGGGAGGAGGGAAGCTCGTCTACAAGAGGAGTTTGACTTCAGGTGCCAAGGAGAAAACCTCTGGCCAAAAGCATTGCAATATTCAGCAAAGAGGGAAATTTGGAATTTCAGGGGGAAATGTGCTTCTGCATGGAGATGAGGAGGCTGGATGTTAGTAGCCTATGTGCCCTGAGGAAGCATCTGGCTATAATTTTAAAGCCCGCCCCCAACCCCTCTGCTGGCTGTAGGCACGGGAGGATCATTAGAAGAGCCTTCCTCTCACTTGCCCCCCTACCTTGGCCTGGCCAATGGTCATTCACCTGCTGCGACTGGGACAATAGCAAAGAAATGAAAGTTTGCAGTGCCAGGCTCCTTGTCTCCCACAGGGGACTAAAGCCCCAAAATCCTCCCCCTCCTTTTGCCAGCAGCTCCCTGAAGACACAGAAGGGAAAGGAAGAGAAGAGTTTGGAGGCTTGATACCTCCCTGGTGAATCCAATGTGTGAGTCATGACGGTGAGAGCACTTGGAAAAAGAAACAGGGTCATGCTGATGCCTGTCAATGTCCCCAGCTGCTGAGGACAGGAGTCTGGAAGCTGCCTGCCCAGGTAAGCTCTGCCCGAGACATCTGGCCCCACCTTGGGGGGCTGAGGAGCCCCTGAAGGCAGGAACCCAGTACCTCGGCCGCCACCTGCTCGCCTCTTACACTCACTGGTTCCTATGGCTTGCCAAAGCAGCTCCGTTGCCAGCCAGGGTGCCCACGTCCTGCCCCCGGCCCTAAGTCCACTGTGTCCCCACCCCACCCTTACCAGCCCTCAGCAAGATGCTAGGCTCAACGTTTATCCAAAGATGCTGGGCTCAACCTCCTGCCTTCCACCTCTGTGTCAACAGTACCCATCCTCTGGCACCTGGAATCCCCATCTGCCCTTCTTAGGAGTCTCCTGCTTAGGAGCAGCGTTTGAGTCCATGGGAGAAAACCTGCACCAGAGGTGAGGAACTTAATTTTGGGAAAAGGCAGGCCCTGGATGGGGAGAGGGGCCACCCTATGGCATCGCAAATCAGACCACCAAGATGCCTCCCTAGGAAGACCCTCAGGTCTTACCATTTAACCCCTAGCTTACCAACCAGGGCTATTCAGGGCTGGCTGTTACTGTAAATGAAGACAGTGGGTTCCCAGAGCCTGGGAAGAGGTGCTCCCGGCGTTCCACCCAGGGAAAAGCGGGAGGCTGGTTCTGGCTTCCCCTGGAGGGCTCTGCACCAGCCAGGGGCCCCGGCACCACGGAGAGCCAGCCAGTTCATCGCAAAGTGCGGGTTCGGTTCGGAGCCGGGATTGGGAGCAGCAAGCGCGGGGGCGGGGGGAGCCCCCTGACTCTAAGTGCAGCCCTGGTTTGGAAAGTTGATGCAGGTGTGGGGACGTCAGGCTCTCGAGGCGACTCAGCAACCCGGAGCCAGGCAGGGTGTGGGACAGTGAGCCCGGGCAGCCCCCGAGTCTCCGCAGCGGCGGGGAGCAGGGCGCCTCAGGGACGCAGCGCGTCTCAAGTTTTGCTGCCCTCTCTGAATGGGGGCGGGGACGGCTGGGCTGATCGCAGCGCTCACCCGCCAGTAGCCCGGAGAGCCCCGTCCTGCGCGCAACACGCTGCTCTCCTCCTCCGGCCCCACACCGCCAGCAGCGACTGTCCCCGATCGTAGGGGCGTCTCCCACCGCGCCCGAGACCCTCCTGGCTGCTGCAGCGAGTGTCCACTCCCGCCCGCCCCGGGGCCAGCCTGGCCCGGCCGATACCTGGTCGGGGGCGCACCGGGAGCCGCTGCAGCGCCCCGCACCGGCTCCATCCTCGGCTCTGGAGTCAGGCTCGCCCGGGCTCGGCGGGCGGCGGCGGCGGCGGCGGCGGCATATTCCGCCTCCCGCGCCCTCCTCCTCGGCCTCCCTCCTCCTCCGCCGCCTCCGCGCGCCCCTCACGGGCCCCTCTTCATGGCCCGGGGACCCGATCCCGGGGCGGCTCGGCCGGGGGAGAGCTTTCTCCGGGGCAGGGCGCGGGACGAGGACCGAGGGGCGCCGGGCCAGCGGCCGGAACCCAGAGCGCCGCAGCCTGGGCACCGGAGAAGAGCAGCAGCCGCGGGCGCCAGACCCTCACCGAGCGCCCTGCGCCCGGAGCCCAGAGCAGCGGCGGCGGCGGCGGCGGCTATAGCGCCGAGCGAGCGGCGGGTGCTGCGGTCCCGGCTCCACCCCCCAAAGCCGCCCGCCCCTCGGCGGCTGCCCGCCCCCTGCTCTTCCCCACCCAGCCAGCGCGCGCCCTCCGCTCCCCGCGCCGCCTTGCCGGTTCCTCTCCTTCCCCGCCCCGCGGGCCCGCGCTGCCCCAACCGCCGCGCTGCGGACACCCCTCGGCAGGCCGGCTCCGGTGCCAGCCCTAACCCACCCACGGAGGGGAGCCACACCCACACCCCGAGGTTTGGAAGGCCGGCGAGCGAGGACGCAGGCTGCCCACGGCACCTTTTCTCTTACCCTCTCACCCATCCTCCACCGTGGGCGCTCACCGAGGGCCTTCCGCCTCAGTGCTCCCTTCAAGTCCTGCTGGAACCCCAGCCTGGCCCGTGGCCCAGCTGTCCTCTACCCCTTCCCCATCCTGTGCAACGGAGGGACTCCAGAATCCAGAACAAGAGCCAACCACCTTTCAGTGCCAATACCCCAACACGCACCCCGGGCCCATCCCCCACCCTTTACTTCCCAGGTGTGGAAATGAATGCAGTTGTGCCTCTTGGGCAGGGTCAAGGAGGGGCTTAGTGCGTGTTGGAGTGGATTTGCTGGCAGAGGGCCTTCCAGGCTAGTCTTGCACTCCGCCCACCCCCTTCCTATCAGACGGCTGCCGTCCTGCTGGGATTCTGGGGCCACGGCTGCCCTTATGCAGGGACACTTGGTGGCCTCAGGCTGAGCACCTCAAATCCTGCAGTCTTTGCGTAAATATTGACTGAGCATGTCCCACAGGCCAGGCCTGTATGGACACCAGGGACTCGTTGGTGACAAGACAAACAAGACTCCTGGCTTCCCAGAGTGTAGTGGAGAAGCGTGGCAAACAGGCAGAGAACATCATGTGGTCAGTGACCCCTGGGCTGGAGAGGACACAGGGAGTCCCAGTTCTGTCATCACCTCTGGCTGTGTGGGGCTGGCTGCCTAAAAGGCTTGTTCCCTTATCTGGAAGATGGAGATGCTGGTCCTCACCGCATGAGGCTACTGTGAAACACCATATGGAAAAATGCATCTGCACAGTGTCTGGCACATGCTAAGTGCTTAATAGTCGTGCGGTGCTGTTACTGTTATTGGCCGGTTGGTGTTCAGGGTAGCCAGAACAAACATTCACTCATCCAGAGGAAAATGTGGCCTCTGTGCTCCCGTGGAGGACTGAGGACTCTGACCGTCAAGTTGCTCCGTGCTCCCAGAACCAGCTGGTGTGAAGGCCCCTGCCTCCAGGGTCCCGCCAGACCAAATGGTGGTGTATCTTGGTCACAATGGCAAATTCGCAACAATAAACTCCCACCACCACCCACCCTGCAGTGGATCCCCATCAAGCCAGAGCGTGACCAGTGTGATCCGAGATTGCCTTCCAGTGTTTTCCTGCAGCGGCGGCAGCAGCCCGGCCCCAGCCCTGCCCGCCCTTCACCCAGGGCCGCCCAGGTAGGAGTGCCAGTCCTCAGCCCTGACTTCAAGGCGACCAGATCTGTTTCCCTGCCTGTCCCCCAAGGAGCAGCCGTGCTCTGAGGTGCCTAATGACAGCGCTGACCTTCCGGAAGCAAGGACTTCGTGTTTCAAAATCCAGTTTGTCCCTCCATAGAAAACCGCCTTCTAAAAGCCCAGAGCTGAGCCATCAGAACCTTCCCTTTCACCCAGAGCTAATTCCTCCCCAAGTCTTCAGCCTGACAAGAATAGTCAGGGTTTAGAGAGCACTTTCTCTATCTCGCACTCTCAGATCCAGCACCTCATTTTTCAAACTCTCGCGCATTCTGGGCAGAGAAGAGGGAAGTATACATGTGGCTGACATGGAAAGCTCGGTGTGGTTGGAATGTAAAGACAGAGGGAATGTGGATATATATATATTTTTAAAAACATTTAAACTCTAAAAATAGACCAGGATTCTCAAGAACACCCGGATTCTGTTTCCAGTTTCCTGGAATCTCCCAGTTGACAAACATAAGTGTGTTGTGAGCGCCTACTGTGTGCACTACACTCTGGCAAGTGGTATAGGGAAAGAGAGGAGGGAGAGAGCAGAAGCAGCGGGCTTTGTGAAGGGAATTTTGATCCCACACAATGAAACTGGAAAGAACAGTTGCTGAACACGTGACTGAGTCCAAAATGTGTAGCCTTTGAAGTCAGAGGAAGATGGAGCCTCAGAGAGTTGTTCAGGGAAGGCTTCCTGGAGGAGGCAGGTAATCTGAGGCTTGAGCGATGGATAGGCTGTAAAAAGGCAGGAGAGCCTGTGAGAGAAAGGGAGCAGCAGCCAGAGGGAGCTCGTCGATGGGATAATAGGAAGATTAATATTAATGGCTAATCTTTGAGATCTTACCCTGTGCCTGGCACTGTGCTATTTGTTTTGTGTGGGTTATGGTGTTTAACTCTTAAACTTATGAAGTCGGTGTTACCATTCCCATTTTACAGACAAGGAAACTGAGAGCCCGAGAGATTAGGAAGCTCCCCCAGGTTTGCAGAGCTGGTGAGCCGTGGAGCCAAGATCTTAGTGAACAGTCTGGCTCCACACACCAACGGCTCCACTGGGCCAGGTGTTGCAGCCTGACTCCAGCGGGGGTGCCTGTAGGGAGGAACAGGAAGTAGAGAGGGCTAGGGAGGCCAATAGCTGGGCGTGGGGCCTTCAGAAGCCCCCAGACAGAGGGTTTTCCTGAAATGCAGCCTCCAAGCCCTCCTGGGAAATCTAAAATGAGGCATTCCCTCTTCTCTGCTCGCCCCCCCCCCCCCAAGCAGGTGGCTCTCTGGGGGATTTGGAAATTGGTTAAGGGATTTGGGGGCTCAAGATTTCGGCTTTTTAATATCTCTTGCCTGTTCATGCCGTGGCAGTCTGTGCCACCCACCTTGTTATTTCAGTCTGTTCGGGGAGATTGATGGCCTGGGCTTTGATTTAAGATCTGTGTCTACGATCCTCAATTTCCCCTGTCTCACAGGGGACAATGACAAGGCAGCCATCGCACAGAGGATGGCTTCTTCCGGAGCTTCAGGCCTGAGAGCTCGCAGCACCTGTGGAAAAACTTCCCATCAGAAAAGCCTGGGCAGAGGAGGCCAGGCCCAGTGGACCCATCTTCTAGAGCCTCCGTTTCCCCATAGATGATGTGCAAGGGGCGGCGCTGAGGAGGCCCATTCGGTAATAGGCTTGGAGGAGCCCTCGGGTGGTGGGGGGATGGTGCTAAACCAACCCCTCATTTCATAGGTGAGCAAACTGCAGTCCAGAGAGGTTAAGCCACTTACCCAAGGCCAACAAGAAGCGAGCTGAGTCTTCAGCTGGGTCTCCAGCTGTTTGAGAAACTGGACTTAGGCATCGTCCATCTCTCAGTCCTTCCCAGTTCTAGATGGATTCTTGTTCTTGTGAATCAAGGGACCTGAACTCCTCTGTGGTTGAAATAAAACAAATATTTGAGGACCTTCTCTCAGACCAGATATTAAACTGGTTCCTCAGATATGGATGATTCTATTTCTTCCTCATAAGCTCTCCAAGGGTCACTGGGCCCAGAGTCATCAGGCCTGAAGAATTTCTGGATTCAAAAGACAATATCCTTTTGTCCAAAACCCTACAATTCTTGTCCTTGCCCTTGAAAAGTCACCTTGCTACCCTATTGTCAAGGGATTCCGTGAGTTCTCCAAAGGGACATTGCATTGCTCCCAGGCCAGCCTTTCAGCCATCTGTCATGCTTGTCTGCTCCTGTTCTAGAACTTGCCAAAGGCCACAAGCCTACCTGAGGGAATACCCTTACCCCCTTCCATGCCTCCCGGGCTCCAGCCCTTGAGGAGAAGCTAATGCCCTGGCCAAGGGGACTCCTGATGCTCCCACAGCCCCAGCCCTTGAGCTGCCAGAGGCTAGGAGAGCAGCATCTTCCCTAACACAGGAGCCCTAGGTCCCCAAGGTCCCAAAGCTTAATTGCTCATTCCCCACTTAAGGAATGGCTTCTTTAAAAAGAGTGTGTCTTACTGGTGGCTTTAACTTCTAACCCCTGTCCTCAAATATAAGCCAAGGGGCCAAGGAGGAAGGGGAACTGTTCCTGCTTGGACTTCTTAGGACCACTCCCGATAAAGAGCCCCTCTCATCCTCCAGTTGCAGAGCACAATGCCCCAAGTAAATTGGAGGATGTGCCAACTAATCTTGGTGGATGGGAGGAAACAGGGAACCTAACAGATTTGCTTCTGGTAAGTAACTAATTCACAACACATCTGCTGCCCAGTCCATCACGGCCACCCCAGGGCTCTGGACCTTCTGGGCCTCATAGGTGAGAGGCAGGAGTGGGCTGTGTTGGCTCGCAGCCCACTGAACACGGCCCCATCCCAGCCTCCAGGCTCCATCTTCTTTCTTCTGAGCTCACGTGGCCCAGCCCCATCTTGCCAACGTGAGTCTCATGCAAGCCCCGAAGTTTCTGGGAGGAAGGAGCGGTCAGAGAGGCCAGCCTGCTCCAGCTGCCCTCTGAGGAAGATGTCCAGCAGGGGAGCTGGCCTTTCCTAAGCCACTCTGCTGGCATTGCCACAATCGCCCGCCCCCGCCCCCCGCGCCGGAGGCCCAGACTGAGGAAAATCAAGGGGTCCTCCAGGGCCCAGTGCTTGCCCAGCGCTTCCCAGAGCCAGCCTGCTGGG